CACCACATGTTGAGGCGAAAGGATTGTATGTGCCGAGCACACTTCAACAATTGCCAAAGTGTTGTCGTACCACTTCTCATAGCTTTATAATACAACAATTCAAAACTTTAAAGTTATAAACTAATTAATCCTTCAACAATTGCCAAAGTGTTGTCGTACCACTTCTCATAGCTTTATAATACAACAATTCAAAAATTTGAAGTTATAAACTAACTAATCCTCCGTCTGAAATTTTACTTTCATCTTTCTCCTCATTTATTTTCATCTTTCTCCCCATGTCATGGTAAAGATGGATGAGTAAACCCATTAAAATCCATAGGAGGTGTCGATTGAGAGAGTCGTTGGAAGGTGGACGTTTGGATCGATTTACATTACAAAATTTGTTTTTGAAATTTTTTTGGCGAAAAAAATGAGCAGAATAACAAATGAATATATGTTTTTTTTTTCTTTTAAAGTCAAAATTTAGCGTTGAGATGCAACGGTCGCGACATATACCCCAATTCAAGTTATTAAAATTGTGATTTTAATTGTATCATTTTACAAGTATACGATATTACCTACTTACATCAATTTATGACGTAGATTCAGATCGTAAGGCCGTTACCATTTTTTTTAATTTTTTATATTCTATCTTGGACAAACTGAGGTTTTGTTTTGTTTGTTTGTTGGTTTATTTATTTATTATTATTATTATTATTTTTTTGAGTAAACTCTTTTTGATCACTTTTATCTATGGAGGGATAAAAATTTATTTCTTTTAAAAAACTACAAAGTCAAAAAGCTTGTGCATTTTTTTCTCCAAAAAGACATGGTTTAATATCTTCCTAAACTTGAGGCATCTTTTGGAAGAAAAAAAATGTTGCTTTAAAAAAAACTAGGTTAGACCAAATCCTCTCCCATCTAAACCCTAATACCACAATTCTTTCTTCCTTCATTACATGTTGCTAAGTCATCGGGGCCCAGGGGAATACGGCTACCGCTGAATGCTGATGCATCACAACACCGCCGTTGAAAAGCCGACGCACCAGAAAGTTGCATGTTCGATTATTCCGCTGCTTGCTTAAATTGATTATAATCCTTAAACCAACAAAATTTAAACCTAGAAGCATAGATAAAATTATACCTCTTATGGATGAATTAGAAACAGAATTGTACTTCGTGTATGATTTAAAGGTCCAAACTAACTCCTCTCTAGTGAAGCTGCACCTAAGTTTGGATGTCAACGAGACCAAACGATGGCAGAAATAACCTCCCTCGTCCACAAATTTGCTTGTTTCCCCGACCGTAATCCTGATCCTGATCCCAACCTTGAGTTTTCCCATTTTCCTTCCCTGAACCTTTGATCTCGCCCCGTTTCCTCCAATTCACCCCTTAACATCGTTTGACCCGTTATTCACAACGAAAAATAGAGGTATACCAGTGATAAAATGTTGTTGGTAAAGACCTCAAAAATCAGTAACTTGAAAATCAGAAGCACCTGTAGCGGTGATATCACCAGAGCAGCTGTAGTGGTGGTGCCCTGAAAAACACAAAAAAAAATATTGAGATTATTTTTGAATTATTTCATCAGAGGAGAAAAAGAAAGAGGAAGGACGAGAAGCAACTGAAAACGCCAGCTGTATGGTGGATTAGTTGCCGAAAACACTAGATATCGCCCAGATGGTGTTCTTGCGTGTCAGTGGTGATAATCGGCAGGTGAATTGGTAAAATTCCCACTCGTTCGACTGATTAGTGTCGTAATCACCGAAGAAGAGAGGTGATCAAGGAAACTAAGAAATCAGACGATTAGTCTGATTTTATCGATAATGCTTTAACGGCAAAGATCAATAACGACACCATTTTGTGGTAAATGGAGGGAACATTCCCTAGTCATTTTTTAGTCCATTAGCGGCAACATAGTCACAACTATTACTATTGTACGGTGAGCAACAAATGATCGATGGTGTAACATCCTAAAATTTCAGATAAAAATTTTCATTTAATAATTAGAAATTCCAACCATATTTGTTTTTTCAAAATTCCATTACATAAATTCTTTGTCCAAAAGATCAGAGTATCCAAAATAATAAGCGCGGGAATATTGGGGAGTATGTTGCGGCATCAAGTCAGCCCTTGCCCTTAGAACCAAAAGTACTTGAAACACCCAATAAAACTGTAAGCACATAGTTAGTAAGTTTCCCAAAATAAAGCGATGCATATATATATATATATATATATATATATATATATATGTGTGTGTGTGTGTGTGTGTGTGTGTGTGTGTGTGTGTGTGTGTGTGTGTGTGTTTGCCATGGACTCCCTTCATGGTCTTCATCTGGAATGCCAAAGGCTACCCCCATGATATTGCATCCAAGGGCCATGGGCTTCCCCCCATGGTCTTACAAAGTGCCATGAGCTCCCCTTATGGTCTTCACATAAGTTAATACATACCAAATAACAAGACCATTGCATATTCAACTATTGAAATCTCATATCAAGTAATGGGTCGACATTGGTGCATTCGACCCATTTGTATAGTGAGAAGACTCACCTCAGTCTGCTGAACAATAACTGCTCGACTGCCCGTCCAGAATCTCAAACTGAACAAATATATAAATAGCCCTAATTAGGGTTATAACTCAACCTAGTCAAAGAGCCTAGAATCATAAGTCCAACCCCCTTCATGATGGCCCAAAAGTCCTTCCTTTACTAATGAGCCTAGCATCAAAGTCCAATTCTATATAAGGCCACAATGCCTAGTAGGCCAATCATACAAACATTGGCCCAAATGAAAATTTCAGGCCCATAACACCAGTAAGTCCAGGCCCAAAACAATTTGGGCCTAAAGGTTCGAAGTCTGTCGGAGGCCCAAAGCTTTCTGAGAGCGTATGCCCATCGTACCTCTTAAGTACACTTAGCGTACTGGGCTTAGGGGTTGTACCCGCATTGTAGAATCATAGTACGCCCAACGTACACGCTGACTTGCATCTCACTCCATTAAGTCCTTAATGCATGCAGACTTTTCGCTCAAATTTCAGATCTTAAACGTTTTAAGGGTCTTAAGGCATAAAGTTGGCAACTCAATGCCCATGTAAACCCTATATGCTCCCAATAACCCATTATATCACATTAAGACCTTTCCAAGGCTCTTAACTCATGCATGGAGCCATAAAAGTCATCAAGTTTACATTTTTATGCTATAAACAAGCCGAGGAACCTCAGATCCAACCTCCCTAATATTTGGAGTTGCCCAAACACCCAAGAGAGGATTTATGGACTCAAAAATGGACTTCTAGAAACCTTAACTCAACAAGCTAAACGGATAAGCTAGGTGAAACCTTTTTACCTCCACAAGCTTCCTAAGTTGCTCCAAATGCAAGATCCAAAAGCTTTTCCTACGTTCAAAGCTTGCTTCCACTTCATTCTCTTTGCTAACACACCAAAAATGAGGTATTTGAGGCACTTTAAAGCTCAAGAGTTGCTCACAAAGGGTTTAGGGACGTTTGAAAGTAATGAAGGCTAGTTAGGGTAAGTTCCAAATGGCTTAAGGATGTTTAAATAGGGGCCTTGCCCTAAGATTAAGGTTTTGTACTCAAGCGATGTACGCCCTGCGTACTGCTTGGTACGCCCCGTGTACGTGGTGCATGCCCGCGGTCAACTTTTCCCCAGTATGCTAAGCGTACACCTATGTACGCCCAACGTGCGTAGGGACCCATTAATAAAGAAAACTCATTCTAAGGGTGAGAAAGATAAATACCTAAATTCCGACCATACGGTTGGATTGAATGTAAGATCAACGAATAGGGTGCAGCAAGGAAAAATGACGCAAATTATGGTTTTGCATTAATACCAACGATGGTATTACTGGCGACATATGCATAGCGGCGACATAGGAAAGATGTTGCCGCTAATGTCATTGTCGCTAGTATTACTTGGATTTCTTGTGATGATTTTATGTCAATAATTCGTTGTTTTAAAGTTTTATGAAATTTATGATTATGTCCACAATTCATTCTTTTAAAGTTTTTTATGATAACAATCTTAAGAATCATTTTTGTAGCAAAATAAAGATTTATATTATCAAAACAAAGTCTTACGTTGAGAGATTTTTAAAAAATGTTTCCAAAATTTGAGAAAAAGGTAATGTAAGGAAAATGACTATTGAGGGTAATTAACTTTTGCGTTTGTACTCATTTGATTATTTTCCTTTTTTTTTTGTATTCAATATACCATTAAACTTATTGTTTGTGTTCACGATAACCCTTTTGACCTGCTTCTGACCTGTGATAGCCGGTCAAAGGGTTATGTTGAACATAAATAGCAAGTTCGATGGTATATTGAGTACAAAAAAAGAAAAGGGACCAAATGAGAACAAAATCAACAGTTGGTTACCCTCCTGAGTCATTTTCCTCGAAAAGTTAAATGAAATTAAAGTTGCAAAATTATCAAAGACTGCAACCTTCTTTGGCTATAACGTATATAAAGAGCATTTCAGAGGGGTAACTTCGTTAAAACATGATCTATGCTATGCTTACTAGAGTTAGCTGTCAATACCTCTCTTCAAAAGGATATGATTGTGTATGAGATGTATATTTATCAGCATAAACGTTTACCTAAAAGTATATTATAGTGATGTGTTTGCAAAAGCAGCATGATATTGTTATTATTGATGTTGTATCTCATCTCATGAAAATTTTGAGTTAACTACACGTTAAAGAAAAAGAATTTAAGTTAAATTGAAGGCTTTATTCGAGCTATTTACCTTTTAGATCCGATACATCATACACGTCATCGTGGCGATTTCGATTTCGAATGAGAAGGAAAAAGCTTTTCAATTTCTATGTGCCACAAAACATTGCTCACAGTTGCCGATGACTTGATCGGACCTCCTACCGGAACGGAAAATCTCTCTCATCTCTCGCTCTAGCTCTCAAACTGTTGTGTGAGAGAACAAGAGTTATAGGGCCAATTCATTTGTCTCTCTCGATCCGCAGACACAACAGATCGGTGATTGACGAATTATGGCACGATTCACCTGTCCACTGTCCTCGTCTACTACCGATATCGTGATCCTGTCGATTTTTGTGTTGCTTCTGAGGTCTTCGTTGTTTGTTTCTGCGGTCATCGGTGATCCAAGCACTATTATTCTCCATCCTCCGCATGCTGGTAGCAATCGTCACACCATGTTTCTACCTCTTTTTCCGTCTCCTCCTAACTCATCCCGGATCTCCTCGTTCTCCGGCAACGGAAAATCACGGCGTCACCTCCAGAAATCCGATACGTCTCGCCCGAACGCGCGGATGGCTCTCCACGATGATCTCCTCCTCCACGGGTATGTGTTCATTTCCTCGATCTATTTTACGCGCGCGCACGTAAACAATAGGGATATATGAATTTTATATTATATATTTTGTTTAGCTGGAAAAAACTAACGATTAAATTCCCTTGGGACCACTCTGATTATTATATTGTATTCAGTTCTCATCACATTCGATTTCAGAAGTTACAGATTCCACCATTTATTTGCAAATTGAATTGGTGATGATTAGGTATTACACGACGAGGCTCTGGATCGGATCTCCACCGCAGAAGTTTGCTCTTATTGTGGACACAGGGAGTACTGTTACTTATGTTCCTTGCATTACTTGTGAACAATGTGGCAAGCATCAGGTATTCCCTTAATGATGTTAACCAATTGATACTTTGAGTTTTGTTTTTGTAATAAACTTCTGAATTTAGATTGTTGATTTCACCAGGACCCAAAGTTCGATCCAGATTCATCCACCACATACCAACCCGTGAAATGCAATATCGATTGCACCTGTGACTATGAGAGAAAACAATGTGTATATGAACGACAATATGCAGAAATGAGTTCCAGCAGTGGTGTTCTTGGTGAAGACATCGTATCATTTGGCAACCGAAGTGAACTATCACCACAACGCGCCATTTTCGGTTGTGAAAATGCAGAAACTGGTGATCTCTACAGTCAACATGCTGATGGAATAATGGGTTTGGGGCGTGGTGATCTAAGTATAGTTGACCAACTTGTTGACCGAGGTGTAATAAGCGATTCCTTCTCTTTATGTTATGGTGGAATGGATATAGGTGGTGGTGCCATGGTTCTTGGTAGTGTTTCTCCTCCCTCAGGGATGATCTATGCCTACTCAGACCCTGTACGGAGGTATGTTTTGTAATTTGTATCTATCCTTCTTATAGATACAAAAAAAAAACCAAAAACCTTAATGTCTTTCTAACAAAATAACATTTAATACATGATCTCACACATTTACTCTAGTCTCGGGGTGGCAACAGCCCATATTACAATATTGAGCTCAAGGAGTTACGTGTTGCTGGGAAGCGTTTGCCTTTGAGTCCAAGTGTTTTTGATGGAAAACATGGAACAGTTCTTGATAGTGGAACAACTTATGCTTATTTACCTGAAGCTGCTTTTCTTGCATTTAAGGAAGCTGTAAGTTTTCATCCAAAACTATTCTTTCTAGTTTCTTCCATCAAAAAAAACAATCTTTCTTCTAAATCATCAAGATCTGTTAATTGAATTTTGTAATCTTGGATTCAGGTCCTGAAAGAACTTCATACTGTCAAACAGATCAGAGGTCCTGATCCAAGTTACAATGACATCTGCTTTTCTGGTGCTGGAAGGTATTGTATTGTAGTAATTAATATAGATAAATTGTTAGGGAAAATAATTTATTGTATTTAAGTAGAAACTAATGTTTAGTTTTTTTTTTTTTAATTTAGTGATGCTTCACAACTGATGAAAATCTTCCCGAAAGTTGAAATGGTATTTGGGAAAGGACATAAGCTAACACTATCCCCTGAAAACTACTTGTTCAGGGTAAGCATTTATTTAATTTTTTTTTTTTTTTACCATTTTCTTCATATTGTTTGTACACACATTTTTCTAAATTTATTTCTTTTTATTAATAAAAGCATTCAAGGGTACATGGTGCATATTGCTTGGGAGTTTTCCAAAACGGAAAGGATCCAACAACTCTTTTAGGAGGTACTCTTTATTTTTATCATCATTTCTTTTATTTAAAAGAAATAGTTAACAAATTTTAGATTTTTTACAGGAATCATTGTGCGCAATACTTTTGTTATGTATGATCGTGAACATGACAAAATTGGATTTTGGAAAACTAATTGTTCTGATCTGTGGGCAAGACTACATAATTCTGGTGCACCCTCATCTGACATGTCTCCTTCTCCATCTCCAATGGGGACACCTGGCCATATTTCTCCAGGTAGATTAAACATTTAAACCTAAATATTTTTCAAAAGTTGTTATTTTCTATAAATATAATACCCCTTTTATATCTATATATATATATTATTGTTGTAGGGTCGAAAGTTGGAAGCATAATATTTTATATGTTTCTGAATCTTAAATACTCTAAACTCGAACCACATATCATTGAGCTTACTGAGTTAATTGCACAAGGGTTGCATGTTAACATTTCACAGGTACTGTTTAATTTTTTTTTATTCAAATTTTAAATAATCATAACAAATTATTATTTCAGGTTTATTTATTGGACTTTACATGGGAGGGAAATGAGTCCCTTACAATATGGTCCATTACTCCACCAAAACCTTATGAATATATGTCCAACACTACTGCATCTGTGAGTAAATTAATGATTTTTTATATTGATTATTGTAATTATGGTTTGATTAATTACTTGGTGGCAGAATATAATTGCTCGAATAGCTGAAGGGGAGATAAAGCTTCCTAAAAGATTTGGAAAATATCGGATTTCCAATTGGTTTATTGAATCTGATCCAAACAGGTATATTGATTATATATAAGTAAGTTGTAAATTTGAAAAATAATGATATTATGGTGGGTAGCAGGACATGGGTGAAGAATTATATGGGGGTGATGATAGTATTTATTTTGATATTAATATTTGGGGTGGCGGGGGTTGTTGGGTGGTGGTTTTGGAGACAGAAGCGGCCAGGTGGCGGGATTCTGTATAGGCCGGTGGATTCAGTTGTGTATGAACAAGAACTTCAGCCACTGTGATCGCTCATTTTTTATGGAATGAATGTCTGTCAACAAAGGTGATTAAAGTTTTTGTCGCACATAATGAGAATCTGAATTGATCATGATTTTTTTTTTTTTAATATAATGTTCTGAAAAATGGTTATAAATTTTGACATATTATAGTAATGGTATAAGACATGGTTCAGTTGTTATGTGTATACTATAGCTTCATAGATTCTTCCGAGATAAATTTACAACTTTGGCCCTGTTGCTGGTTAAATTCACGGGGTTTTTTTTTTTATTCCTGTTTTGCTAAATTTTAATTTGTTTTTAAATAATTTCCATTTTTGAGTTGTTGGCTTCTCCCCTGTTTCAACGGGGGGTTGAAGTTGAACCGCTATAGTGGAAATCATGGAAATGACTTTGATAGAAGAAAATAAGAAAATGTACTTTTTGAATCGATGTTATAGAATTTAATTAGAATATTGATTGGATTGAAAATTTTGTATTTTAGTGATATTTTGTGTTAAAGATAAATTACGAATATGACTTCTTGTTGAGTAGAATTGAAAATTTTGTATCAATTATTTTTGGTAAATCATTTATTTGTATCGAAGCAGGGCATTTCGGAGTGAGTATGTATATAGAGTGTAAATCTTTCATTTGTAATTAAAAATCTCGAAGAAAAAAGAAATCTCACATCTTTCTTACTAAAACATGACAGTTACCATTGGTGTTTCCATAAAATGACATCCTTTTATCTCGATTTATCGAAATTATTTTGTTTTTGTAAGTTTCATTGCCTTATTGTTAGATTTATGAGGAAAAGAAAATTTGACATTAACCGGCTCTCTTGGCTTCAAAACTCAGTTTTTTTTATTCATTTCTAATTGTTTCATTTTTTGTCCATTAGCCTTTTGCTAGTGTGGTTAGTAAAATTTGTTTCGTAGTTAAAAAATATATATATAAATAAAAATAAAAAAAATAAAAAATTTATGAGGAAATATGTATTCTGGATTTCGAGAAAACCATTTCGGGCATGGTCATTGTATTTTGGATACAGACATCGGATGCTAAGCTATTTTTTTACACCATTATAACTTTATGTATGTATGTTTTTTTTGTTTATTCATGTGTAATACTTTAAATATGTAATCTTTATTTTCAAAAATTAACTCGGACTATTTCTCGATCCATTAAAAGTTGTACATTTCATCCTCTGGACATAAAAAGTCTATTTTACCTGTAATATTTTCTTTTTTAACTTTTATTTGTTTCTCATTTTTTAATTAAAAAAGACAAGAAAAATCATTACTAATAAATAAAAAAAATTTGTCACATGTTACGCTCTCATTGATTTGATCATATGTCATTTTGTGGTTATTTTCAATTAATTTTTTTTTTCACGTGACATTTTGTGGTTTTTTTTCATTTTATTAATTTCCACATAATATTTAAATATAATAACTGCAATAAATGTAATAATAAATGCATATCAATTTCATTAATTGAGTACCTTCTAATTTCAATTTTTCTAAATTAAAGTTTCATTAGTTTTCTTTGGATATTTATCTAAATTATTTGTTTAATTTAAAAGAAAAACAAATAATTTAATTTCAATTATTCAATATTTTTCTATTTTTTTCTTAAACTTCTAAAATGTTTAGAATTTCATATTTTTTTTAAATGAACCTATATAATACATAGGTCTTACACCTAGTAAATAAATATATCACTTCATCCCTTAGACCCCCCTCCTTTTCCACAGACTTCTTTCATTGCCCAAGCTCACGTGAAAACAAAAATGGAGGACCTACATCTAACGAAGAGGCCGGCGAGAGCACGTTCATCTCTATCTCTCACAATCTATCGTGTGCCACCATCCCACCCTTTTCCTCCACACAGATCTGACGACATCCCCAACCTGCAAATTGGAAAAATCAAACCTCAAAGATGAAACCCTAAACCTACAAATCAAACCTAACTAAACCCTAAACCTGCAAATTGGAACTAACGAGTCGCAGGAGAAGAAAGAGGATTCCGATCGACAGAACCAAATCGAGGAATGTGATGTTCACGGCTACCAGATCAACAAAACCAAATCGAGGATGATTTCGCCCACCACCACTTCACCTTGCCCATTCTTTGAATCCACTTCATCTTCCTCATAGCTGGTGTAAGTCGACGGGGGCGGATTTACCTCATGATGTGGATTATAGCTTCATTGAGGATTTAGTTCGTAGGTTGATGGCTTCTTCAAGTCAACGTGAAGGTGTGATGTGAATTTTTAATGCACTAGTTTTTTATTTATAAGTCCCAATTTATCGCATCTAAACCACACCTTACAGACAGTGAACCTGATCGAGTATAGTATAGCTTTGATAAGCAAGGGTGTCGAACACAAGGGGAACGGTAGTGAATTAATCTAAAATATTTGATTATAGGTTACAAAACATACGAAGGAATAAAGAAATGTTTATTAAATCTCAAACGAACAATTAATTAACAAATCTCGATAAACTAACAGGGAAACAAATCTCTTCAGGTACTTTTGTTTGGATAAATTACACCTTAAAAACATAGACAATTGCATACACAAAGTCATTTATTCATGTTCACCGATTCCTAAAATGATTAGATTCGCATTCACTATAACTAATCCTTTAGCAAACAAGTCAATTCAAACAATGATCAATTGGTTAAACTAACATGCTACCTAGTGTTCAGTTCGTATCAAACAAGACTTGCAAATATAGTTAATCAAATTAGACATTCAATTAACCTCTTGTTGATGGTCATCAAACAAGGCTCACACATTAACTTACTTATTCTCAAGTTAATCCTAGTTTCACATTTGTTATTCCTAGACTTATAATCTCGATGGTCATCAAAATCATAAGAGACAAGCAATCAAGCAGATGTTCATACAACTCAATTCACTTAACAATTAACAACAAATAATTATCATCAATACGTAAGGATCTTTTAACAAGCTTGGCAAGATAAATTAAACACAAACAAACGATTCAATATAGCAATTTGTCTAATAATCAAAGTTTCATTCAATCATAAACACAAAGTAAAAGGTTTTTACACCCAAGTCAGAAACTAAATACAGAATAGTAACACAATGGAATGCTAAACATGGTCACGTTAACAGCCCATATGATTACCGACACGTATCCGCTCTCCAACCCTTCCGATCTCCTCTTTCGTTAGCTTAACGGCCTTCCGGCCGCCTCCTAGACCCTCAAAACGACAACTATGAAGTTTTCTTGTTGCACAAGTCGAAGTGGAATATCATAGATTATGAAAATGGTGGAATGATATGGGGTATTTATAGTTGATGGAGATGGAATTATATGGAATATTAGAGTTGGATTGGAATAAGGAAACTAATGTGGCTTAGGGATTAAGCAAATAAAGATAAGGAAAGTGGTGCTTGGGGAATAAGTAACTTGGAGGGAATTTCCGTCCAGCTTTTATGCTTCATCTTCAAGGCCGATTTTGGATAAGATAAGTGTCGAATTAGCCAAAAGTCCCTCTCACATAAGTCATAGGAAATTTTGTCTAGTTTTCAGAACATTTTGAACCTCGTCAATTGGACTTATGAGTCATCCCGAAACACTGAAGAGGGGTCAATCTGCCAGCAATATCCTTTTTGCATCTTTTCAGCTCCATTCTCTTTCTTTTGCATTCCATCTCCCATTTTAACTGTAATTAAATATTTCAAAGCATATTAAGTTTATTTTAGTTCTAAATAATAGGAATAAATGCTAAAATATTAAGATATGTTATACATAAATATATATAAAAATACACATATCAAAATACCCCACACTTAGCCTTTGCTTGCCCCCAAGCAAATTTACTTTTATTTTACCAATATTGCACTAAACAATCCATTTAAAACTCAACCATTATGCCAAGACCTCAACGCATGCATTTGTGTCTAAAATTTTCCTAAAGTACCCCCCATACTTTAAATACTCACAATCTTCATAAACACTTGCCCACTTTTTCCGAACAATGCTCATTTTATGCAACCCTCCGAATCCATCCACAGAAAACCTCCTAACCTCAAGGTATTTTTAGTTGAGCAACCTAAGCATACATAATCTAGAATTACAATTTATGATACCACTATGGAGCTTTTTAGGAATTCTTCACTTTCTTAACAATTTGATCTTTGATTTCTTTGAATTCACCACCTTATTTGATTTGATTTCTTGGTATCTTCAACTTTTTGAATTTCTTGGAATTTTGATCTTTTGATCTTCACTTTATTTGCTCCAAAATTCTTCAAACTTCTTCGTAATTCTCTCTCTCTTTTTTTTACATGTACCTCTCTTTTTTCACTCAAAACCTACATGCTTAAGCAGAGGCGCTCAACCTCAACCTTTATTGGTTAATGATAATAATTTTCCTGGATACATTTTAGGTTTAGGCTGCTAAACATATTGCATCCTTCAAACCGAGCGGGGTTATGTTTTTGTTCCATGATTTCACTAAAATAAGGGAAGCCACAAATGCACTATAACGTATATTGGCTCAACTAAACATTTGAGTTCTCATCGGATCATCCCATACAATATTAGCAAAATTTTAAATTATCACTAGATTTTTCTAAATTAAACTATTATTTCAAGTTTTCTTTTAAATTTTTAAATTTCCCTAAATCTAGCAATTTCCAACTATTATTTCATTTTTAAATTATCACTAGATTTTTCTAAATTAAACTATTATTTCAAGTTTTCTTTTAAATTTTTAAATTTCCCTAAATCTAGCAATTTCCAACTATTATTTTATTTTTATAATTTACTTTTACCGACCCCCTACCCCACACTTATTTCATACAATGCCCTCATTGTATTCTAAAACAAATTAAGAACATAAAAAGGGAGAAAAAGGAACAGACTCCCCTGGGTAGTTGTGGCGAGATCGAATGGGGCTGCTACAGGTTGCTTCAAATATTGCTGAAAAACTGAAAACTAGAACTGTTGCTTCTGAATGTGCCGGAAAATACAAAAGAACATTGACTTATGAAATATGGTGCGAACGATTGCAAACTAAAGCAATGTATAGTGACCATGACGTGGGAAAGTGTCAACCACATCGTGTCGTCGAGTGAGGAAAAATCCATATCGTGAATAATAGCAT